TGATTTTTGATTTCCTCTCAGCAATGTTAACCAATCTATGATAACTTATCCTCTTGCCTATCCATCAGAGACAATAGATATATTCTTTTATAAAGAATAAACTATCAAACTTGGTACTAATGCTACCATTACAGCCAATTCTATAATAGATATTGTAAATGAATATACCATCACAAAGTATGTAGTTTCCATCATGACTTACAGCTTTGAAAATACTTTCAACAAATTGAGATTTCTTTGTATTAGCTCCATTTTCAAATATGACTTTTCCATTCTATTTATCTAAAGTGTAAGCTAAAACAACATCAAATGGCAATAACATCTTTTATTTAAACTTTGCCATAGCTACTGCTGCTGTAGCTTCTACATCTGTTTATACATTGAATTCAGCTACTGAATTAGCTGCATTTCCTACTCCCATATATGTTCCACCCATAGCAAATAAACATCCAAGTTTATCAACAATATCTGGATACATTTATAATGTTAAATAAATATTAGTCATTGGTCCAATACAAATAATACATAAATCCTCTCCATATTTATAAATAGAATCTTTAATGAAATCACAAGCATGTTATTTTTCATGAAAAATATTCTAATGGTTTATCTTATAAACCTAATTCAGTTAATAATCTTAATTATTATCCACCTAATCCATAATATATATATTATTTCTATTTAATCATCAAAAATATCTTATCAAAAGTCTAAATACAAATTTAAGCAATTATGTAAATCTGATAATGATTCATTTCATATTTAAATAACAAAAATATTTATTTCAAAGATTCGTTCATTTATTATCTATTGCTGCTTATATTAAAGTAATTTAATTATAGAACAATTATGAATATTAATATTTATAAAAATGAGTATAGAAAAACAAGAAATACCTTTCCAAATAGAAATAGAAGATTAAAAAAAATAAATAATACCTTCCTTACCCACTATCACTTGATAAATTTGATATAATACGATTCATTTATAAAACACAAAAATTAGCTTATTAAAAAAATAGAATATATGAAAAAATATATTGAAATAGTTGAACAACCATTATAGTTTACATAAAAAATAAACCAAAATCTAGAAGATTATTTACCTGATGTAATGTTTGGCCCTAAATCCCTCTAACCTAATGCAGGATAATATGGATTTTTAAAAGAATATTAGACTTAAGTATTATAGTAAAGTTAAGCATAAATTAGCTTTGAATAAAACACAACTAAAATTCCTGGATCAAATGTAGTAATATTAATTTATAAATGAGAAACTTATGAAAGTTTAACACTTGAAATATAGAAGTATAGCAATGAATCAACAAAAATAAAACCAATAACATAAATAAATGGTAAATCTGCATTTAAGAAATTAATCAGATCTAATGAAGCATTATTCTTAGATTTTTATTAAACTAAATACGTTCCATTTTAATAAAAATTTATGACTACTAATCATCATTCCATCTATTTCTAAATATAAAATTAAATAGGATATTATTTTGTTTTTGGCAGATAATTAGAGTAATTAAATTTAATGAAATGGATTTATTTAGGGATACTAAAATTAATTTAACCAAAGTTTTTTGTAATTGCATCTAGTAATGAAGTTTTTCTTCATGATATTAATATCTTATAACTTTTTACAAATTTAGAGAATAAGAAATATTTTGGAATTTCATGTTAGAAAAAAAAAATTAAATATAATGGGAGATTTTGGAATAATTAATAAGGAGATTTTGCAGATATTGCACTTAAATTAGATTCCATGTTTAAAATTAAATAGTTTCATAATCCTCTCTCTTGTATATATGAATGGTCTAGAATTGAACCTATAATAAATGATTATATCCGTAAACTTGAGAGTGAATATTTTACTAATTCTTGTATATTAGGATATAATTCAATATTACCTAGATTTATGATTGAATATTCAGGTAAAGAATTTAAAATTATAAAAAATTACATTATCGAATAGCAATTTTCTGAGAATTAATTTGAAATTGTATTTAATTAATTTTGTGAATACCAATAAAATATCAACAATTAATTAAGGAAATAAAGATTTTTTTTGTTTATTTAAGAATGTTTTACAATGGATTATTTCTAAAATCTAAGTTTTATATAATTACTTTGGGATTTCAATTTGTAATTTATATTTCAATAACATTAGGTTTTTTCTTTTCCTTTTAATGTCCATATTAACTCAATTGTAACTTATTTGAGGAATCAATTGGATATACTGCTTTGCCTGTTAGACTACTAATTTTCTATACCATTAATGTTTTATTATTCCTATTACTAACATAACTATATCATTTTTATTTCAAATTTCAGTAAGTTCTTCAAATATTGATGTATTATTCACTAAAGAATATGATAAGTAAAATGAAATTAATTTTGAAGTTTAAGAGGATGAATATATTAAGAATACTTCTTATTCTATGGATAATGAATTGTTATAAAAAAAGGCACTTTATTTTTTCTATAAATTTTCTTAATTGAAATACATTAGTGTGTATATTAATTATCTAATTGAAACTTAAAATTATTTAGATTTGGGAGTAACAGTATTTAATTTGGCAAATTTAATAATCATACATGGTGAGATATTACTAACTGAATAATCAAATTATGAAATAATTTTATTAATTTTTGTACTTTTTGTGTTAATTTTCAATTAACTTCAAAAAAATTAGGAATAGTTGGGATTTTTGTCAAATTTTCTATGATATCGTATTTTTGGTAATTTCTTTAATTACCTAAATAAGTAACATCAGCTCCATAGAGAAGTATTGAGAAGAGAAAATTATGTACTTAATTAATGTTGAATTTTATTCTCTTCTATACTTTTATTGCAATTGAATCTTACTATAATTATTCTGGTTATATTTTGATAGGAGTTTTTGGATATTTGGCATTAGTGTATATAATTATAGGTATTTTTATATTTATTTAATAAATTTGCTATAATTCATCCATTCCAAAAGAAACAACAATTTGGGAAGGGTAGTAATTTGTTGAAAATTATACCTTACATCATAAATTACACTAAGATGCTAGTCATATCCTAGTTGGAAGTACAAGAAAGCTTGTTGCAGATACAACTTAAGGCAAAAAAGCAATGCATTGTAGTTTAACAAATTTTTTTTATTAATCTCTTTTATATATATTCTTTAAATAGAAATATTTCATAGAATTAAAATAAGCCTAAATAAATAAAATAAAAATATCTAAATCAATCTATTATTTCACCCTCGTTAACTATAATTAATGCTGTAAACTTAACTTATGAATGACTAAGATTATATCTATTTAACTAATAAAATAAGGATATAAATTAAAGANTCAATATTACCTAGAATTATGATTGAATATTCAGGTAAAGAATTAAAGATTATAACAAATTACATTATCGAATAGTAATTTTCTGAGAATTAATTTGAAATTGTATTTAATTAATTTTGTGAATACCAATAAAATATCAACAATTAATTAAGGAAATGCAGATTTCATTTATTTAAGAATATTTTACAATGGTTTATTTCTAAAATCTAAGTTATATATAATTACTTTGGGATTTCAATCTGTAATTTATATTTCAATAAAATTAGGTTTTTTCTTTTCCTTTTAATGTCCATATCAACTAATCTATAACTTATTTGAGGAATCAATTGGATATACTGCTTTGGCTGTTATACTACCAATTTTCTATACCATTAATGTTTTATTATTCCTATTACTAACATAACTATATCATTTTAATGACAAAATCATTGAAAAGGGTTATGACTAAGAAATTGCCATGATGGCTTAAAAAAATGATAAACAGGAATTTTTATTTCAAACTTCAGTAAGTTCTTAAAACATTGATGTTTTATTCACTAAAGAATATGATAAGTAAAATGAAATTAATTTTGAAGTTTAAGAGGATGAATATATTAAAAATACTTCTTATTCTATGGGTAATGAATTGTTATAAGAAAATGAACTTTATTTTTTGTATAAATTTCCTCAATTAAAATACATAAGTGTGTATATTAATTATTTAATTGATACTTAAAATTATTTAGATTTTGGAGTAACAGCATTTATTATTGCAAATTTAATAATCATACATGGTAAGATATTAATAACTGAATAATCAACTTATGAAATAATTTTATTAATTTTTGTAATTTTTGTGTTAATTTTTCAATTAACTACAAAAAAATTAGGAATAGTTTGGATTTTTGTCAAACTTTCAATGATAACATATTTTTGGTAATTTCTTTAAGTACCTAAATAAGTAACATCAGCTCAATAGAGAAGTATTGAGAAGAGAAAATTAGGTACATAATTAATGTTGAATTTTATTCTCTTTTATACTTTTATTGCAATAGAATCTTATTATAATTATTCTGGTTATATTTTGATAGGAGTTTTTGGATATTTGGCATTAGTGTATATAATTATAGGTATTTTTACATTTATTTAATACATTTTCTATAATTCATCCATTCCATAAGAAAAAAAAATTTGGGAAGGGGAGAAATTTGTTGAAAATTATACCTTAAATCACAAATTACACTAGGATGCTAATCATATCCTAGTTGAAAATACAAGAAAGCTTGTTGCAGATACAACTTAAGGCAAAAAAGCACAGTAATTAATGCTGTAAACTTAACTTATGAATGACTAAGGTTATATCAATTTAACTAATACAATAAGAATATAAATTAAAGAGGAATTAGAAAAACATTATAATGTAACTTAATTTGATTTGAATTAAATAAAGAAATCAGCAGAAATAGCAATTATTTAATAAATTTAAGCTCAATATAAAGATTAAAAAAATTAACATTTAATTAAAAAAGCAGAGGATACTACTCAAACTTAGTAAGGGAAATAATACAATTAGAATGACAAATAGTAATAGTAGAATTAAGCACTAAATTAGGACTTATTAAATTCATGTAAATAAAGTGATATTAATAAGATTGATTCAAATATTTAAAAATTAAGTGAAATCAAATAGGATGATATGTTGGAAAGTAATCGCAATAAATTTAATTAATTTGGATAGTCAAAAAAATGATTATCTACAAGAAATTTTATATTCTAAATTCTAATAAAATTTAGATACAATATATAAATATTTATTTTTTTAATCCTATATTATGAATGTAAATAAACTTCTATCATTTTTTTGATGATTTGGTTCCTGATTTGACTGATTTAGCATTTAGAATTGATTTTAATGATTATGTGTCTTTAGGTATTATTATTATTATTATTATTATTGAAACTCATTTGTTTTTTTACGCTTTGAACAGTTGGTAATTCTTATTATGTTTTAGAGTTTTTAACAGATTCAGACATTTTCAATTTAAATATGGCTCCTTCTGCTCTAACTGATATAATAGTTTTAATAAGGACTTAAAGTAATCTAATTGAAAATTAAAAAATACTCTTGTTATAGTAACTGAATGTCCTTAACCTTTAAAATAACAGATTCCTTCATCATATCCCCATAATTTAACTTCCTTATCTTCTCCTCCTGATACAAAATGCTCTCCTTCTTTTGTAATTGCTAAAGGATTAAATTCACCTTCTTCAGATCCATCTAACATTCTTATAGCTCATCCATCAAAGATTTCCCAATAAGTAATCTTTTATAAAATGATAAGATACTTTTCTATCACTTCCAGTAGTTAATAATTAACTCTCTTCAGGATGATACAAAACCAATTTGAATAAAGTACTTTCAAATAAACACATAACTCTGGTAAATGATTTAAGATTCCAAATAATACAAGGCCCATCTGCACTAGCACTAACTCCTTACTCATTATTCTTCTAACCTAAATAGACCATAATCTTACTCTATGTTCTTACATTGAAAATTTCATAACATAAGTTTATTTTCCAATTTCCCATACCCTAACTTCTTCTGATCCCCCTGAAATAATTCTTTAACAATCTGATGCACAAGTCAAAGATGTACAACCATGAATATATGCATCATTAATTACATATAGCAATCTACCTGATTATGGTAAAAAGGCTCTGATCTTTCCATCACTCCAACCACTTACAATACTTTTACCATCATTCATAAAAGCAATAGCCCAACATTCAAGATTTGGAACTTAAATTCTAAGTAATTCTTATCTATTCTTAGCATTCCAAACTCTTATATCATTTAATGAACTAGTAGCAAATACATCTGAATAATTATGAGGGAAGGCTATCCAACCAATAAATATTGCTTTAACTAGTTCCTACAAAAAGGTGAGTCTAATCATTTGTAAATGAAATAGATGTCACACCTCCTAATAATTCACTACTTGCCACTATTTACATTGTTTAAAATGACACTTTTGCAATCATACCATTTCCTACTTCAACTATTAAGTCACCATTATGTAATAGACCTAAAAAATTAACTCCTTAAGAAAATAATTTTTTGACTGGTGCCAATCCTTATAAATTACCATATCCATTTACACTTCAAATACATCTCCTGTTTTTGTTCCACAATAACAAAATTTATCATTTTTCTCTATTGCAACACAATTAAAGGTTAGTTTAAAATTTCCAAAATTCACATCAACAGATTAAATCTTTATATAATCTTCTATTATACCTTTTTATTTTATTTATCAATTGTTAAAATCTCTACTCCAGTATTTAAAACTGCTATCATTTTTCCATCTGATTAGTTGTAAAATTAAACTTAATTTACTGGATCACGATTAGGTGTTCCATACAATGCCTTTCCTGCTTTAATATCCCAAACAATCAACATATTTTTATCATCAATTCCACCCAATGATGCCAAGTATAATTCATTATAAGAAAAGCTTAGTGATTAAATTAATATTTTATGTAATTTTATTCTATGAATCACGCTTCTGTCTTTGAAATCCCATATTATAATATCAGCTTAGAATCTCATATAAGTTGTTTATCCAGATGCAACATAATTTCCAATCCTAGAAACTGTTATCAAAGAGAGATCTAATTATCATGCCCTTTAATTTAGTATATCACTTATCCATACCTTAAAATGTTTATTGTCTAGTAATTATATGTCTAACTACAATGGTTGAACCCAATGGTTAAATAATATACTTTAAGCTAATAAAATATACTCTACTTCATTATCTGGATATAAATCTAATCCTTAAGTTATTTTTCCATTTATTATAAACATTTTAAATACCTGTAAATCCTATAACTGCATAAATCTCAAATTCTGATTACATTATATTTTATTTATTTTCAATTATATTTTATTACTTAGAATTAAAACTGCGTTTTTCATATATAAATTTGAAAAGTTCTTTCTTATAAACATTTAATTTCATCATCAAATTCTAAACTTTACATATCTATATTTCTTTTTAGATTACAAAAACTAACATTGTTAATTTAAATTACAGATTAAATAAACTCATAATTATAATTTTTAGTATCTAATTATTATGAGCAAAGAAGAAAATTAGAAAATGTAACAAAGCGAAGGTGATGAGATATTTTATCACATTTAAAATAATGCTAACTAATAAAAAATTTAATAAACAGATGATAGAAGTTAGAACCAAGTAATGATAATAAAAAGAAATTAAGTTAAACTTGACCCTCCTTAGGCTCTGTCATTCAAAATTGCACAAGCAGAATTTCCATGTTTATTCATTATCATAAAAGCCCCATTTACAGGAAAATAATTACCTGATGTTTTCTCTTTCATTTTTGTTTTCCATGATTCTCTGTGATTGATTCTTCGTTTTTCAAGTTTGAATCCATTACTATTTGTATAAAAGATATCATCATTTTTGATATCAGTATGAATTTACAATACAATTAAAATGAATAATTTTTAGTGAAAAAATATAAACAGGTAAATTATTATGTTAATGGAAAAAACATAAAAATAATCATATTATTTAATATTTCTCTTCCTTATTAATCAGATATATCTAATGAATCTAAAAAAGTATCAATATAAAATATATCTTAATTATCAAATCTTGAAATCCAGAATTTTTAAAGTTGTTTTTTCAAAATATATTTATTGAATTATTTGACCTGAAAATTAAATGGCTGATAGGTAATCACCATAATCAGTAGCATTTCCATTAGGTCTAAATATGTATGCTCCACTACTTAATCTTGATGAGTTTGATAAATAAACTTAATAATTTAATTAAAATTTATCAAATATTTTTGTATCTTTTTTAATTTCTATAAATTTTGGGTCTAATCTTATAATTTCTGAATTATTTTCAAAATCAACCATTATTTTAATATAATGTAATAATTTAAAATTGTCTAGGTATGTAAAGAATGCATTTGTGATTTATACAAATAATGTCTCCTCTAATTAGATTTCCTTATTCATCTTCAACTTTTATATTTAAATCTATAGGAATCAGCATTTTCATATATTCCTATTATCCATCAATATTGATTTTTGTATCAATTATAGTAACAATTACAGTTTGGTTTTAGCAAAGAGGATCAAATAAGGAATCACATTTATCTGATTCATTAAATTAACATTAAGCATCAAATATGGATGATGGATTTGATAAATAATTTAAAAATGTATTTATTTGATTTTCCATTTTTATATAGGCTTTATGAATCATTTTGAGATAATCATTAATTACATATTATTTTGCAGCTCCAGTAATTGCATCATGATGTTACGCTGTACCTAATGAGATAAATCTTATATTATTGTTTCATCACAACTAAAATTATTCATTTTTACTAACTGATATAATATGTTGACTTATTAAAAATATCTACCAATTCTTTTGACATATCCCTTAAAAGAAGGTCTACTAGTGAAGAATCCTGACCAATATTCATGAGGATGATCAGAATTAGGAAAAAAATCTTCTTCTTAAAAGGATATGAAATATTTTACTAATTCAATGCTTGGATATATTATTTTGGAGTACCATATTCTATAATCATATTAAATTTGTGGGAATTATTATTTATTCGATTAATAATAAGATCCATTTATTAAAAATAGCTAGAAGCATTTGACCATTCAAAATCCATACCAAGTGTATGAGCTAATATTTTACCTCTATAGGATTTACACTATTATTTAAAATATTAATCAAGTCCTTCAGACTTTTATTCCAAGTTTTCATTAGAAACATAATTTCTTTTAGGATTGGAAATGTCAAAATCAAATCCTTAAGGAGATGAATAAAATCCATAATAATTAATATGAGTGAAAATAGAGTTTTCTTCATCAGAATGAATTACAAACTCTAATTCCTTCTTTTTTTCTCTTTCTAATCTCTCTTGATGGTCTATTCTTCCTAAAAACCAAGCATTAAAACCCATCATATTTGAAAATAGTGCTTAAGTATTTGAATGTCCAAATGTATCAATTTACCATCCAATAGAGGGTACATAATTAAAATTTTCAAGTAGAAATTTATGTCCTAATGTCATTTAATCAATAATATCTTCATAATAAGTTGTTGCTTCATCATTCATACACCAACCTCCACTTAAAAATTCAAGTTATTGGTTCTATATTAATTACTTTACATTATCTTTCATTGTATTATTCTATTCATTCCACCACCTTTTATATATTTTAGAATTTACATTTTAAAATAAGCTACCTCCACTTATGAGAAATGCTTAGATTTATCTTTAATCAATTCTTCTATATATGAATTAATTATTTATTAGACTCCATGATAATCAAAATAATATTCATTTATTGTTTTAATCCATCCAACATCATCATGGGAATGAGGAAACAAGTAAACCCTAATCAAATCAGATCTTATTTAGCTTACTTATCCAAGATAATTGCACTAGATATTAAATATAAGAATAAAAATTAATAACATATTATATATATTTTCTCTTTTTCATTATATTTTATATTACCTACTTATGCATTAATGTTTATAAAACTCGAAATAAATTTTATTCTGATTAATAACAACATTAATGTATAAACTTACCAATAATTTCACTTTTAAGAATACTTGTTAATTTCTATATTCTATTTATTATTCTATTCGACCATAAATTATTAAGTTTCATTTGTTTTAGTTTTTATGCTAATGAGTTTATTCAAAATTTAAATTTCTTTTCTTGAGTGAATCTGAATTTGACATAACTAATAAATATTTATATAATAATAAAAGCCTTAACTTTATACTTAATATTAATAAAATTTGTTAGACATTATCAATCATTAAAATGTATTAACCAATATTACAAAATTAGCAAAATTAAGAATTAATCATCGGAGCCCCAGAAATTCCTATTTCAAGTAAAGCATTAAGCCATTTTAGTTGAATACATGGCATAATAGCCATAGTGTTAACCACTGATTTAATTAAAAGATAGAAGGAAGTTTTTAGTTCTTTTGATGTTGACTTGTTTTTGTTAAACTGGATTAGAACTAGCTATTTCTCTTATTTCTGCTTATTCAATAAATATTCAAGATTTAAAGTTATCTTTTGCAATTCCAATGTTTATTTTTCTAATAATAGCATAGTTATTATTATTGTAGATAATAAAATCTAAACCACAAATTAGGGATGTAATAAATAATAAATAATTAGACATTAATCAAAGAAATTTTGTTAATTCTTCTATATACAACAATAGTTACTTCATCTATATGTATTTTTGGAGTAAGATTATTTTACAATACAATTCTGATATTTGGTATCATTTAGCTTTAAATTTGTCTAATATCATCTTATTTTATATTGAGTGTTTACTTTACTTTTTATTAAGATCCAAATATCAAATGTAATTAAATCAGCTATTTTAGAAACCCTTATATCATCTATGTTATTCCCTTTAGTAATATCAATCATTGTGATATCACTATCTTTTAATTTCTAGAATTGTTTAAATAATTTTTGTATTTAAAAAGAATTTTCAGTAATGATTTTTTTCATTTTTATATTTTTTTTGTATCTTGGATTTGCAACATCACAGGTAATTAGTCTATTTTAAATTCTAAATGGAAAATTTAGATTATAGCATGATCAATTCATAATTGCAAATTTATTACTATTTTACAATACATTATTGCCATTTTTAGAATGATAATATAATTTTTATATTTTAGATTGATTTTAATTATTATATTTGTAATAATACTCTCTGACTATAAATTATGATAAAATTATGTTTGAAGAATTAATAGTCATGATTCTCATTTTGAAATGAAGATGAGAAACAATTATTGAACTTTTATTGATTAAATTCATTCATCAAAGAGTGTAGAATCAATATTTTATAAACTATATTTTTATAGATAGTATATATCACTAAAATAATTTATTTTATTTGCACATGATATGTTTAAATCTATATTTTTCTTAAATTCTATATTTCAATGGTGAAATTTTCAAATATTATTCAGTATTTTATCGTAGAATAGTTACTATTAATATTTATTTAATAAAAATATAGAAAATATTATATTCTAGTTAATATATTTTTAGATGTCTTGATCAATTAAGATATTTTCATTAATATTTTTCCTTTAATTGATATTGAGTTATTTTTTGTTTTTAATGAACTTAACTTTCTTAATATAAATATTATTACCGATTTGATATTAATTAATAATCTGATATATTCTCTGTTATTTCTTATTCAAATGCTTCTGTCATAATTTATAATAAATATTTATAATAAACATTAAGAAAATAAGCTGTAGTATAAAGTAAATAAAATAACATTAATAATGAATTTTTTTCTCAAAGAAAATATATGAATGACAAATATTTACGTTTGTTTAAAACTGACATTTTAATTCCTGTATTTTCAACAATTTTTATGAAAGAGTAAATGTCATAAATAGCTCAGGCTCATTTTCTGCGAACATTTAGAAAAATAATTTTGCGTAAATAAAAATTTCGGAAAGGTTAGCATTTTAGTAAAATGAGAATTAAGAAACTTGAATTTTTATAATATATTTTATCATAAAATGTTTTAAGATAAAAGTAAAATTGTTATATGAAACATTGCCAATAATCTAATCAAATTGGATTCAAGTTATTGATAATGAAAAAAATTTTAGAATACCAAATGAATTAAAGTTTTATAAGGCAAAAATATCAATTTAATTTTTGTAATACAATGACTACTTCTTTGAATAATTTTAAAGAATACATCTATAAATTATAATAGCATTAAAATATAATCTTTTAGTTTAAAAATTCTACTTTTAATATTATAATATCTAATGATGATAAATAAATCCTGATTAGATTCCTCCATACTCATTAGATTATTAACTTTTCTTTGATTCATGTATAAATTTTCAACTATATCCTTATAACTTTAGGATTACTATGATAAATGGAGGATGGAATCAAACACCAGAAATTTAAATTAATATATAATTTACATAAATTAAATATTAATTAGAGGATCAATTTTTGAAAAGACTTGAAACATAGAGCATTAAGGAAATTTTTAGTAAAATGATATTTCTTGTTAAATTAACAAAAGGTTAATTTAATACTATGTGTTTTTATGACATTTTCACTTCAGAATTTAAGAGATAATCATTAACAATAATAAACACGCTAATGAGTTTTAAATATAAAAAGGAATACAGAAGAGATTTACAATATACCTTTGCTTAATAATAAATAGTATTAATACTAAAGAATTTATGTGTATAAAAGAAAAGAAATTATTTTCAAATTTATAAATATCTTAATCAATAGCAAAAATGATTAACCAGATGCGTTAAACTACAATATTTTTGGAAAAGTAATATTTTATTTCAAATTAACAAAAGTATTACCTGTTTATCTGTTGAAAGATAATTATGATATTCTTACAAATATTTTAATAATAATATGGATATTAGAAAATTAAGGACATTACGGAGTCAAAATAATTATTAACATATCATATAAAATTACAATATTTAATTAAAAATGTTAAAACAGCATTTTCAAAAATCACGCAAAATTATTAGGTCTTTAGTCAATGATGAAATTTTTTAATTAAATTATACATAAAAAATAAACATTCATTATGTTAAAAGATATACTGATTTAAAAATCACTATTCTCATTAGTCACCATAATTGCTTTAGCCTCTTGCTATTAATTTAATGAAGAATTACTAATTCCCAGCTCATACCCTTTAGAATCAACAATTAGATATGACATAGGGGATTTCATTTCTTTTGAATTTTGGAGCTTCTATATTACAANTAATTTATTCTAATTCATTAATATAATATTCAATTCGCATAGATATAAGTGGAATTTAAGAAGAAAAATTCTATTCTTTACTGATAATTTTTTTTTTAATTAGTATATCAATTAATTCATTAATAAGTTTTTTATAAATTAAAATATAATTCTAATTTAAGAAATCAAGTAAATTAAAATTCTATAATTTAAAGGTCCATTCAATTATCTGATAATGAATGATAAGAGAAGTAAAATCTATAATTATTTATGTAATGTATGAATTAACTTAGAATTAAATAATAAACAATAAAGATGAATAAATGATAATCAACTATCATTATTTTTAATTTTATATCCTTTTTGGCTTTTGTTTAGATAACAATTTTGCTATTTTTATGAATTTATTTGTTATTTTATCTATTTTTATGATACTAAATATAAAAAAGTTCATATCATATTTACAATGAAAAAATTTCTAAAATCATAAATACATAAATTATGATATATATATTATTAGAAAAGTAAAAAACAAAAATTTATTATTAATTTCAATTAGACTAATTAATATTGTTCTTAGTTTAGTTTTTGATTCAATTTATAAAGCTTTATTATAAGATTTAATTGCTACCTAGTAATGATTCAAGTTCTTTAACTTCAATAATTAACTTATTTTAACAGTAATGAAATGAATCTTTTCTATAATAAAGCATTGCCTAAAATATTAAAAATATTTTACATTTTATTACCCTTATTATAAGATGTCTCGCTACAATTCGGATTGATTTTTAAAGCCTCATCATAGCATTTAATGGCTTCTTAATGGTGATATAAATGTTAATGATAAACCTATTTTTAAATGAAATTAAGATTCATTTTTATGATAAATTAGGCATACTTAATTTTAACTTTTTACATTTAGTTAAAATTACAAAAAAAATATTTTATTTAATCAAATAATATTTTAAATTTTGAGTTCTCTTAAAAATAATTAATTAATTAATTAATAAATTTTATAGTATTTCTGGTTATCTAGATGATTCGGTTTAAATTCTAAATAAAATCATTTTAGATAGAGATCTATCTTATGTCTAAAATCATAAAAGTTAATTCCAACAAATATCAAATAGGCATATGTGTGACTATAACCCCCTCTTATTGAGAACATTCAAACATTCATTTAGAATCATTACATTATGTACTAAAAATAACTAATAAAATTATAAATAACTTCTTGAAAAATGTATAATATTAAATGATAATAATAAAAACATTGTGATATTTTTATTTGTCTTTTTTGTAAATTTATTAATCAATAATATATTTGATGATACAAATAAGAATTGTACATGTTAAATGCTTCTTTTGACCTTTCTATATCAAAATAGAATAAACACTTTTAAATGTAAGACTTAAATTCAATATGTTCATTAATTAATTTTTAGAAAATTTAGCTATTTGGATTAATTGATGATAATATTGTAAATGACTACAATAATCTTACAAGATATTAAAACTGTTTTTGTGAAAATTTACTTTCAGTTTTCATTTTAGTCAAATTTGAAAATGAAAAAATTAAAAAATCATCAAAGTTATGTTTATTTCCTGATCTTATATAAACTTATGGAAATAATTCTTCAATAATAGACATACATTCTTAAAAACTAATATTTTTTTTAAAAAATCTTCTCGTTAATTCTGAGTTTAAACTAAGTGTTCTGATATCTTCTTCTGATAATGTTTCCTATACAAAAGGTTGTGTATCAAGTTTAAAATTAAATAATTTAACATAAGAATTTAATTCATCAAATAAAATTTTTTCAAGATAATCATTTAAGTTTGTTGTTGGCATTTTCATTAAAATCTTCAATATGATACCAAATATATCCCAATTACATTATTATTTTTCTTTAAATTCTAATCTCCACAAATGGTAATAAACATTATAT